AAAAAATGCTGGGTTAAATGCAACCCAGTGCTGGGTAAAATAGAGACAAACCCAGCAATTGGGTTGTTTTGACCCAGCGGTTGGTTTACTACCCAGAAGGTTGGGTTAAACATTTAACCCAACCGCTGGGTCAAAACAGCCCAAATTTACCCAGCACTGGGTTGAATTTAACCCAGCATTTTTAGAGTGTATTACTAGCATATTGGCTGTTTATTAGTACTTATAAAGCACATATTCTGAATGAGCATATTCTACATCCCTAATCCTAAACTTAACAACTACCTTACTAACTATTAATAAGCAGTAATTAGAAGTTTATTGAGGCAAAAGTCATAGTTAATAGAGAGAACTAGACCTTAAAATAATATGTGACCCAAATTGTCGGTCTGAGAGACTGCATGGCCTTAAAACCTTCAAATGTTGAGCTTTTAAAAACTATGTTAATCTTAAAATTACTTCAAAATTCAAACTTTCTGGTCAGGCTTTATCAAGCCAACGTCAAAGTTTGCCTTGACAACCTTTTATTTTATTTTATTTTATTCTTTTTTTTTTGTCTAGTTTACTTATATTTTTGGATACTTACATAGCCAAAGGGAACCACAAATCCCATGACAATAGCACAGAAAAACATGACCATACACAGAATGAAGAGAAGACCTTGGAAAGAGGTGATGTCAATCTAGAGAGTCAAAAAACAACACTTTAGAATTTTAATATTACTGTATTTTACATGTGCATATATCATCATGGTAACACAAATATAACAAAATACACTGATGTACAGTAAAAAGTCTATTAGTATTTATAGTTGGAATAATTCTTCCGGCATTTGCTCACCTTGCTCTGAAAGCTGAAGATGGTGACACACAGACACACTATGGCAGTGATGCCAATGCACAGCACTACAGACTTGGTGTTGTAGAAACTGGCAGAAGTAAGAACAGGTACTGTTATGTTCAGTAGAAATTAAACATATCTTGTAGACTTAAAAAAAATATGTTTGGAAAAGCATGCACACACAACAGACATGTCATTACCTAGAGATGAAACCCAACATGCAAGCCATGCTCAGAGTCTGCATTTGCACAAAAGCATGCAAAATGAACGACAGAGGGGGAAAAAGAACATTTAAAAATCAGGCATATTTTAATTTATATTAATGCAATGATTGAAAAAAAAAATGCAATCCACAGTCTACACTCTAAATTATGAGTCTAGAAATTCTAAAATACTAGAATTTAATTAGACCAAAGGACAACATGCATTTTACTTGGGGTGAGGGACAGATTTAAGTATGTAAGTGTAAAATTATAAGTCAAAGTGGATGAAATTTTAAATAGATTAGTTCGCTCCAAGAGAAAATATTCTCTTTCTTTCTTTCTTTCTTTCTTTCTTTCTTTCTTTGATGGATCCTCCATCCTCCAGTGG